TTGTCTAATAGTAAGGCCAGCCTTGCTCTAAGGTGTCCACTCTGAACTCAGCCATCTATGGACTCTGGGGATGGCTTTAATCTACAACTTCTCTCTCTGACTATCACTGTCAACTATGACAGCCTCCCTTTTTAAGGATTGTTGAACTACCTCCAAAAGATCTCCAAAAGATTTCTCCAAACAGGGAAGGAAGAGGAGCACTTCCTTGTAAAGGACTGGGGTAGGATGAATGTCACTTGCAAAGATTCTCTTCTGGGGCAGCCAGTTTTCTATATGGAGGCATTTCTGTAAAGAGGAAAGGAAGCCACAGAGAAGTTATAGGCCAGGGAGCCTGCAAACCACCTGATGCTGCTGAATCACAACTCGTGCGTCACACTGGCCCCGTTGTAATGCAACAACATTTAAAGGGCCACAGCTTCCTCATCTTTGATACCAGCTGGTAAGGGGAATCTGAGAAGTCCTTTGCAGGCTGGCTGTCCTCAAAGTCTGCTGGGCACAGGAGAAGGGGGAAAGAGAATGACCGGCACCAGAGGGACAGCAAAAAGGTAGATCCCAAAGAAGATGGAGCAGGGTTGTCAAGATGAGAAATTACTCAAGGAGTAACCTAGTGTGTCAAGATGTTTTTTCTTTTGTCAGTGACTGTACAGTTATAGTTGGTATTCCCTTGCAAACTACAACTGAAAAACCATGCAACGTGTTGTTTTCTCGGGGCATACTTACCCATAGTCAACTGAAGCCTAGTTTACTCAGCTAACACAATTTTCTAGATTTCTCTAGTGCCCTGAACCATAAACTAACAACATCAGACAGGTTTGCCCAACATGCTGGATTGCAGTGTGGTTGGCTAGTTGGTGATTCAAGGGGCTGTACAAACTTAGCTTATAAATTGCCACATATGACAGTCATCACTGCCATGAACCCTGAGAAGTCATAGGTTAGCCGACAAGGGTTTCACTTCCTTTGGAGGAGGACAATGCTGTTGACACACAGGGTCTTTTGCAATATTTCATCCACCAGCAAATGTTCAACCAGAGCATAAGGAGAGACAAATTATTTCCAGGTAAGTATACTTGCAAGAGCAGCTGGTCTGTTAATTCTGTGTCAGAGTCCTATAGCTCCCAGCATCCCAAAAGTATTTATTTGCAGCTCACCCACAGCTTTCAACAGTAATTTACAGGCTTTGGACAGGATCAAAGAGATTACTGGACTGTCCTTAAAAGAGCCGCGGATTAGTGCTGGAGACAAGTCAGGATGACCAGTATTTGTCAGTGCAGTCCCAAAGTTGAATGTGATTTCATGGCATCTAGCTAATTCATGGTAACCACTGTCCTAAGACAGGAGGTGACACTAGGGTACATAGACCCAGAGGGCTTCTGAGAGAGGAGGTTGAGACCTCTAACTTTTAACTCTCTGGGCCCAGTTAAGCCATTAGAGCAGTGTTTCTCAACCTTGGCAACTTTAAGACACATGGACTTCAGCTCCCAGAATCCCCCCCAGCAGGGCTGGCTGGAGAATTCTGGGAGTTGAACTCCACGTGTCTTAAAGTTGCCAAGGTTGAGAAACACTGCATTAGAGAGTAGCACTGGTAGGATCAGTCGGACACTAGGAGAAACAGGGTTTCTCTTTAAAGCTTTTTTTAAGAACAGTGAAATAATATTTGGTGCTTGGCATACAGGCATGAGTCCAGCCTAGGACTTTCCCCCCTATTTTCTTCTTGTTTTATTTTTTGTTTGCTACCTATCAACAGATAGAACAGGTACCTTTAGTATTTTTTTCACTATACTCTGATAGTGAAATAGATAGTTGATTATATCCTGTCCTGTTTTGCTTGTAATTCACAGCAGGCTCAGAATTACCTAACTTCCATGCCCATTTCTGGCCTTAAACCTGAGCTCACAAACAAAATATCTATGTTAATATAGCCTGGGAAGCAGTAAGGGGAAAGCCATAGTATCACTTCATATGGCAACCTGATTCGTATAGCATGTGGCAAAAACAGCCATATTCCACCAACATGCTGAACTATAAAATTCCAAAGCCCATTTTAGCCTAGTTGGGCACGTTTTGACTGGATCAGAATCTGTTCAACCCAGTAAGACTAATAGATTTTGGATTGCTAGGCCACAGTGCTATAGAGCCCTCTGACAAAAAAGAATCTATAATAAATATGGGGATCATAAGTCTTGCTTCGCTAATTAACCCATATGCCTTCACCAATTAAATGCAGCCTCCACAGATTAATGGACTGATACCTGAACTGGGTAAAAGCTGCTAATTAAATTAATTCAATCACATATCTTTTTTTAAAATGGGATACATTTCTTTAAAATGGGATACATTTCCCCATGTTTGGATAGGATCACTTGAAGTGCAAGCAATGGTGTTTAATCTGGAATGTTGTTTTGCCGTTTACAGTATGAAGGCAAGTCTCTTTCAACTTCACCTCAATTCTTCGAAGTCCATGCAGTTCTCTTGATGACAGTATCGTAGCGGTTGACCATCATCTTCGGGGAGCTTTTCAACCCCCCAGTTTAACTTTCAGCCTTGAGATTTCCAGTTAGTACCACCACCTCAGTATTAAGTAGGGCCTAGGTGTGACGGTTTGTGGGAGTGACCTTGGGAGACAGGAGGGAAAGCTGCAGACTGGACAACTGGCATGCAAAAGAGGTCTCAGCCCACAGAGAGGGATGGTGTGAGAAGCATTTCAGAAGGGATCCTCCCTAGTTTTCTGGAGAGTAAAAGGAAAGGAGGGCAGAAATACTTTCAGACTTGCAAGATTCTGTTAAAGTAACCTTATGGAAAAGATAGAACTAGCATCAGTTGTTGTGCTTCTTGTCTGGACTATCCCTCAGGGCTAACACTAGGTAAAATCATCCATGTGATACCACCTGCTGAGACCATCTGCTCTACAGCAGTGTTTCCCAACTTGGCAGTTGGAAGATGTGTGGACTTCAACTCCCAGAATTCCCCAGCCAGCATCCTGGCTGGGGAATTCTGGAAGCTGAAGTCCACACATCTTCAAGTTGCCAGGGTTGAGAAACACTGCTCTACAGCCTGCTTAAAAGGGCAAGCCATAATAATGATGGCAATAGAACTGTATTCCTCAAAAATCCTCATCAGCTCTACACCAAAAAGTCTGGAGGTGACACTCCCTTTAGCTGTCTTTCAGACATCCTTCTGGCTTGCATCATGTTGTTTCCTGAAACTTACACATTACCCCACTATGTAAATCTGTGCTGGATGAACCAGTCTGTGATGTGGAAGGCTGAAGACTTTTCCCGTAACAAATCCACCAGCCGGTATGTTCTCAGCGTTGGGTCTTGAAATAGCAGGCTGACTGCTATCATAAGAAGATTTACTGTTGGTAGAATGTACCAGCTGCTGGCGAGGCAAGATGAAGCTTGCGTTCCATTACATCTAAGGGACACCCGTTTGGGCAAAGCTGCTATAAAGTAATAGGTTATTCACAACTCAATCAGTGGAATCACTTTAGACTCTGCGAAGATCCTTCCAAACTGTGCCTCCTCTGGAAATTGTGGTTGCTCGCTTGCTGGTAGCTCACAGGTTGTTGATTTCATTCTAAAAGGTCCACCCACAGAAGCATATGAAGCAACTCTCAGGCTTCCATATTTTTATGAGTAACTTAGTTAAGCAAACATCCTAGAGAAATGTTGTTTCTATTTTGAGAGGCGCATGGAGGTAAATTAGCTGCTTTTTCCCCTGGCTAACTCTCCTTCTTTTCCAGTGAGTAAACACCCAGAGCCTTCATTCCCCCATGGACTGCCCAAGGCACTGGTTCTGCAGTAAAGGAGAGGATGCCAAAAATTCACAACTGTTTCCCATGAGACTGGGAAGAAAAGATCTCCGTCAACTGCCAGCCATCGAATGCTGAACATACAGTTAGTAATTGCACATGCATGCTCACCAGGGAAGGAAATTCTTCATTCATATAGGGCAGCGAAGGAAAGAAGAACTCGGGCTAGCCCCATATATATATATATATAAGTTGGATAGGCCGCTTTGATTTTTAAACCTTGCATACGAGCTGACTGTGAGCTAAAGGTCAGTCTCCAAAGCTGTGACAGCATACACGGCTCCATCTCTTCCTAAAAGAAAGGCATCTCAGCACGCCAGCATCTTGACTGGAGTGGTCTTGCTCTCGCTCTACAGGGATACGGGCAGATCCTCAAGATGCATCTGTAGCAATAATTCTGCTGCCCAAATTTTGTGCCTTGGAATGTGTGTGTCTAAGTATAAAGTAAGCCCTTCAGGCAAATTAGTAGGTCTTTATTGTGCTTAATGCATTTTGCTTCTTCTATTCTTTGAGAACAGGTGAAGAACTGTGCAGGCAGAAGTTACCATCCCTATGTGAAATCATGTACATCACTGCCCTTTTGCCACTGACCATGGGATGTTTAAGCTCCTCTTTATAGCTTCAAGGGCTAGACATCTGTAACTCTTTAAATTAAAACTGGTAGTGTCCAGATGCTGTATATTTCTGCAGAGTGACATTGTAGAATCTTGGACAATGCTGAACTCAACGTATAGAATGAATTCAAACTTGGTTACGGGTTGGTTCTCACCAAGCAGAAAAATTAACCCAGTAGACGTCCAGCTAGGATGCTTCATGCAATAGTGCATAGGACTCCCAGTCAGCCTGAACCATCCAGGAGATATCTGTGGACCAAACCAGCCTTCTGCAAATGCAATTAATGCAGATGCACATTCCCACGTGCAGCAGGATCATTCGCGCCAGCATGGATGAGCCTGTTCTCATTAGTTGACGGAACACCAGGGAATTATATTTTCTTTTTGTCTGCGCAGGACCTCTTATCCGCTTGGCTCACCCAGGCCGTGCTACAGCAAGTTCGCCAGAAGCAAGTACTGATGTTCGAACCTTAAAGAACACTTGCAGATTCAGAAATGAATTATACATAGCTCGTGGGAGCAAAAGGAAGCCAACAAAAGCAGTTTTAAAAATCAGAATCTTTTAATGTGTAATAATTTTTATAAGATTTACGTTTAAAAAATAATTTGCTTTCCATAACGGCGCGGCACTACAGCTGCTTCCTCACTGTCTTTCCATCTCCAGTTAAAAAGCCAAAAGGCACCTGCAGAATTACTCAGCAACTCTGACCCTGTTGGATCTGTTGAGTCACTGTTGCGTCTACAACCAGCAGAAGAGCCCGCTTCAGTGTTTCATCCCAGAGGATCTTCTATGGATGGGCAACATGCCCATGTTCATTACTTGACACTGTGGGTGGATTTCAAAGACTCTTCCTTCCATCAGAAACAGCCAACCTTGGTAAATGCACCCCAGAGTCAGACCCTGGGGTTGAGGGATGTGGTTTCCATGCAGATTTGTAACCCAGCATTTCTTTGCACAGGAAATGTGGGTGACAGTACTGCTTCTGAAACCTGGCTTGGTGTGCCTTCTGAATGCAATTGGGTTGAGTTCTTAGATGCATCATGGCTTTGGCATGCAGAATGTGCCCGTGAATGACTCCTGAACTTTGTGAAGCACAAGCCCAGCCAAGGTTCAACCATATGCATCCCGCAGACACATGCACATTTCACATCGACTCATGTTTGCACGCAACATGCAAAGCACATGGTATCTCCCCCATCCCAAGAGAGAGAACACAAGGCCGACTTGTATGTCTGTATGTCTAAGGCTTGGGCCAACATCCCACCTCCCCAGTATGCTATGAAGAGTTTTCTACATCAGGGAAGGAACTGACTGGTAAACAATAGATTTGATGAGAAGCAAAGGACTATCAATCAGGTAATTTAGATCAAACTTTTTTCTTGCTTTTCTGACACAGCACTTTCTGCTCATGAGATCTTAGAGGTGCTCTGTCTCCCTTCCTCTCGCCCCAATCCTTTGCAAGGAGCAACTCCACATTTGCTCTGATTTTTCAGCATGGAAACTCACAACGGACAGAAACAAAACCAACCACGCTGGCGAATAGGTGCGCCTGGGACTGGCTGAGGCATGCTGAAACTGCCTGCTGGCTGGCAGCCGAACCAGAGGGGCACAGGCTGATAGGAATCCCATCCAGCAGGCAGCCTGTTTTAGTATGCAGGAGGTTTCATGCTCATTTGCTGCCGATGGCTGCCACTAGCAGAGGGGAGAACACAACTGCATTCTGGGTGGCTGAGCAGAAAAAGGTGCCCCAGCCTACGTAGTTCTCAGCTTGAGTTAAGCCCAGTTCCATGCACATTCACACTGCAATCCTTGTAGGCTGCAGAACATGCTGCAGACGGCCTGAGATCCACCTTGTGCAGAGCAAGATGAGCAATAAGCTTCTCCCCAGGTAACTCGCCTGCCAGCCGTAGTCTTCTCATTGGAGAAACCCCTCAAGAGCCCAGGGCTTCTAGAAATGGCGTTTCAAAAGCACTACATTAGAAAGCTGCAGTCCACAAAGGGTTGGAGACTGTAGAAATGGTGACACCATCACCGTTCTTGGGAAGAGGGAACGGCAGCCGGAGAATAGAAAATCCTGCTGCCTAATTCCAGGAGAATTGCAAGAAGTGGCTTCTGAAAACTATCATTGCATAGTGTGGTTGTGAGGAAATGGGATGGGGAGAGCAAAACGGAAAATGCCTTTGCACAGTGTGAGTGGAGGAGAGGGCCCTGAACAAAAACAAACACTGGAAAGGAGAATCATATGGTCGAATCCAGACGGAGATGGCCAGTGCCGTTAGCCTCAGGCACTGTATACTTCTTAACATGGCTGCACTGAGCCCAGCGGTGCTTGGCTTAACTCCGTCTCTTTACCTCCATGCCCTTCCCTCTCCCTGGGTTGCCCTTTTGTACTTCTTCCTCTCCCTGGCCCATGCAGACCCCCCAGAGGGCCCGGGACAGTCGTTCCTTACTGGGTACGAGCCAAGGCCCGGGGACCAAGTCTGACCGCAATTTCCTGCTGGGCCGGGGGGAAAGTAGCTTGTAGCTGTCACTCTCCCCCTCCCCATTCGTTCCCTGCTTATGAGGCCTCCAACCCTGTTCTCTGTCCTTTTCTTCCTCTCCCTGAGCCTTGCTGGAGGTCTGGTGCAACTGGCCAGACTGGTGGGCTTTGGGGAGCTGCTGCCTGATGTCACAGAGTGCCGCCTCTCTGTCATCTCCATCGCCGAGGTTCTGTCCCAGGTTTTGGGAGACCATGGACCGGTTTGGTCTCCTGTGACGGTGCCTAGCTTTGTCCTCAGCCTCTAGCACCTGCTGCAACTTGGTGGAGCTCTGGCTGAACTCATGATCTAGGAGAAACAGGAGACTGGTGAGTAGAACAAGAGAGATTTGGTTTGAAGAGAGAGTGGGCAGGACAGGCCCTAAAGAACCAAATCCCACTGCCTGTGTCTAAGTAGTGGTTGATATTAGATTGCAGAAATGGTGGCATTCTAGTCAAAACCAGATAAAAGTGGAACCAGGGTAGGCAGCTACTGGTAGGGTGGACCCAGGGTAAAATCCAGACTTTACTAGATTCTTAGATATCTCAGGATTACTTTTTTGGCAGAATATAGTTTACTGGCCAAACAAAGGGACCCAAATATTCAGTGGTTGGGAACCATATCTACTATTTAGAAGTCTAGACTACTGAAGACGTTGCTAGAGGATGCCTTCTCTTAGGAGGATCTGCTGCTTCTTAGGCTATTCCAAGAGACCATCCAGTTTTCTCACTTTACTGCTCTTTGATCTCCAGAATACTTGTCTCTAGAAAGCCCATGGGTTAATTCTGTCAGGACAAGAGTTCTACCTTTGGAAATGATTTCCCTGATCAGTTTAAAGAGATTCATTCAACTATGATGTTGGAGAATATGTCAAAAAACCCAGGAAAGAGTGATCTGTGCACCTTGGCAGAATCTCAGCTGCCTTCTGGCCCTTGGCGTTTCAGGAGAATTTTGTAATAATGTTCTACCAAATGTCTGCCTTGGGTAGCTAACACAGATCTCTTGTCAGATCATGCCTGTTCTAGGCAGGTTGCAGGGAGATTTCTAGATTTTGAGGTTCTTAATGGGCAGGGCAAGTTTTGGTGTGTGAGAGGAAATGTGATTATATTTCATAACATACTAATACATGGAAAATGAATTCGAAATAAACCAATTGAAAAATTGAAAATGAGGGAGTAATAACAAGCAATGATAGCTGTGGGGCACAGTATAAAATATCTAAATTCTGCATTATGAAAGCTTAATTTATTCTATTAATCACTGTTTGATGCAGGACCCTATTGTCCTAGCTCCTTCAAATCCTATCTTCTGCTTTTAAAGATGTTATCTAATATTGGCCCTAAACTTTAAATCTGATCTCTAAGATTCTAATGGCTAGAAATATGCTTTAAAAAAGAGCAAACACTGGATCTGATGGTAAATTTATTCTAAAAAATTGATCTTGGCAGAGAAGCCTGGGCAAACATGGTTTTCTAACACTATAAATTCTAGTTAATCGGTATCATTGCTCTAAAAATATCACATCTGTCTTCAAACTGACATTCTCAAGTGTATGAATTATGCAGCTAATGCCACCTTCTGCTCCCTTTCTATTGCTATGCAGAATTGAAGAATACACAAGCTTTGGAATAAAGTTCTTTGGGATAATGCTAGGGAAAGAAATCAGGGAGACTAAGGACGGATATTAAATGGGGATGGGGGGGATTCAGGGGAGGGTTGGCTTCAACAGGATCATCTTCCCCTACAGAAAGTGATGGGAGCTCCCTTTATTACATGCTATTGTAGATGTGATTCCTGGGGAAATAAAGGAAGAGGTGGAGAGTGGCTGAGTGGTAGAGTTGGTCCCACTGGGGGCTGGGCACCCACCATTTATGTTCGACCCGTCCCACGAGGCAGAAGCAGGGCTCCCCCCGGGGGGAGTTGGTCACGCAGAGAGCCAGGCTGGCCAGCAGCTGCCCTGTGGGGCGGAGACAGATAGAGACTTGGGGAGGTGAGGAAGTGGCAGGAAAATCACAAGGCCAGCACAGATCAGGAAGGTGGGGTGGTGGTAGTGGTATGAAGCCAATCACAGACCAGAAAGGTTAAGATGAAGTTGGCACAGATTAGGTGGGAAGAGGGAATCAGACAGTATCATGTGTGGGTTGGGTTAGTGCATGGAGGGTTGGACATACGAAGGGCAACGGGACAGGAAAGAAAAAAGAAGAGGAGAGAGGGGTGAATATTGAAGACTCAAAACCTGCTTCTGCAAAGGCCCTCCAAAGGAAAGACGCAGCTAAAGAGGCTTTTTGGGGAGAGGCTGATTGCATGATCTCTTGCTCTAGATTATACCTCCTCTCTTGAGTCAGAGAGACTAATGCCCGCTTCTCCCTCTGCTTAGAGCTAGAGTAAGAGTCACCAGAACGTCCTGCCATTCAATAAAGAATGCAGGTTGAAAAAAGGACGTTGTAGGTCAACCCCTAATGGACTGGAACCTATGCCTTGTTCATCTGTTGCATCAGCAGGATATTTAGTGCAAATCAGATGACTTCTATTTTAAAGAGGGAAGGGAAGAGAGCAGGAGGGGCCAGAGGCGGCATGGACGTACCGTAGTCGGGAATGAATCCATTGCCCCTCTTCAGCACCAATCGTATTCGGCTCCCACCACTGCGGATGTGTTCCACCGCCTGGGCATGCGTCATTCCTGTTGTAGACTCCCCATTGATTTCCACCAGCTGGTCGCTTACCTATCAGAGTGTTTTAGCATGAAAAAACCACCATCCCCTCAAACAAGTTGTGGGTGTGGGCTAAGTTTTCACAAAGCATTTCTATATATTTTCAAGTTTTTATTCACAAATGATGAGAGCTAGAAAATACAGGCAGTCCTCGTTTAGCGACTGCCTCACTTAGTGACCATTTGCAGTTATGACAATGATGAAGAAATAATTTTGCGATCAGTCCTCACATTTACGACCTTCGCAGGTCTGTAAAGCAAAGGAAAGCTAAGTAAGATTCAGCACAGTTGCGGTTTCACTTAGTGACCACTTTGCTTAACGACCGAGTTGCCAGTCCCAATTGTGGTCGCTAAATGAGGACCACCCGTATATTTTTTTCCTAGGTTGTCAGATTCTGCATTGGATATGAAATTCTTGTATGCATCAAATATCCACAGCTGTATTTACAAAAAGCATAAAGTGTTTTGCTTATGTTAGCTCCAAAATTCTTCAAGGACACGTTGGGAAGGCAAGTATATTACCCTTTTATTTCAGATGGAAACTTGTGGAGTAATGACTTCCTTAAAATTACTTAACAGTAATAGGATAAGATTAGAACTGGGTATGGCTGAGATAAGATTAGAACCTGATTCGCAAATGACATTCTTAAGGTGGAACTTCATATTATACCATTAAATAGATGTTCCATATATGCGAGGACTATCCAGTGGTGTCATAAAACAAGAGAATCTGATCAAGTGCTACCAATCATTTGACAACACTGCAAGGGACTGTTAAGCTATTACTTGTGAAGTTGCTTCCTTTGCTTGTAAGGGCACAGAAGCCAACTCTTGTTTGGATGGTGAATCTTGCGTTAGAAGTTATAATGAGAAGTGAATTGGATAAGTGAAGATTTTATATATATCAGTTTTGTATATACTTGAAGGACTTTTTAGGCATCCAGCAGTGTATATTCCATCTATTAAAAGAAAACTATATTTTAAAAAAAATTAGCTTCAAGGACTTGCAAGCTTTTTATTACTACAGAGTGTCATAGCGATAATCCTCAAAGAGGAAATTCTGGGTCACAATCAGCATCAAAGACAGGAATTCCTATCTTTAATATCCCTTTATGTTTGAAGAGAATTGGGAAATATGCTGGTGTGCAATCGCAGAGCTATATGGACGTCCTAAACTGTTCCAGTGTTTCTATGTGTAGACAGATCTCTTCCATCCTGATGAAGAGCAAACGGGATCTAAAGAAATCGAAGGTCACTTAAATGGGTTGAATATGTGGAGTTCTTGGTGCTCTCTGAGCTTGGTTGTTTGGGTTGGGTGGGTTGAATATGTCTAAAATAGTTGGCCACGTGAAAGGTGTCTTTTGGAGGAAATGGAGGAAAGGAAAATGGGAGGAGGAGGAAGAAAAAGAGAATTATATTGCACAATGCAAGGCAATTTATAGCAGCCTTCCCCAACTTTGCTACCCTCCAGATGTGTGGACTTCAACTCCCAGAATTCTCTGTAATGGCTTGGCTGGCTGGGGAATTCTGGAATTTTTTTTTAAACAAGCGGAGGGCACCAGGTTGGGAAGACTGATGTATAACACCTTGGAATTAGATACTACACACATGGTCCCTTGCCAAGAGACAGCAATGTAGGACTAGAGGGCTGGCTGCTATGTTTGATCCAACGTATGTTCTTGAATGCTAGATTGTACAACAGCTCAGGTTTCAGGTGTGTGTGTAAGAGAAAGTCACTTTCATCTGCAAGTCTCAACAAATCTTATAAGCTTCTTGTTCCAAGCTGACAGGAGCTCTCAACTCTATAGATTTATGCCCCAGAATTCCATGGGGACACAGAGGGTTCCCCATTTAGGGAATGAAACCAACCCACACCTGCCTGGCCTCAGCAACTTTGCATTGGTGCCCATTTCCTGAGAACATCACCTACCTGAATCTTGCCACATTGCTGGGCTGGCCCACCTTCCATGAGAGCTAAGACATAGATGTCCATGTTATATTCGCTTCCGCCCCTTAGGCTGAATCCGAAGCCACTGGGCCCTCGTAGCAGCTCCACAGAATATTGGCCAGCCTCCTGTGGAGCAGAGAGAGATCACAATCCAGAGAAGACTGCTGATCCAATGTCTTTTCTTAACAACAGCAACCACAGAAAAACTGTGTGAATAAAAACATTATTTTAGGGGCCAAACTATCTCCTGCAATGGAAACCATTGAGGTATCCTGCAATCTATGCATTCACAAGAAACACTCAATATAGGTAATGATGCATTTGTCTGTACTCAAGAGATACATGCTCTTGGATCATGGAGGTTCCAACAGTTACATCTTTCTAAAGCTACTACTGTACTGTAAATAGGCTAGGACAGTGTTTCTCAACCTCAGCAACTTTAAGGTGTGTGGACTTCAACTCCCAGAATTCCCCAGCCAGCATAAAGCTGCTGAGGCTGATAAACACAGGGCTAGAATACACCTTACAGGTACTGTACATCATCTGATTATTCCCAGCAGGATTGTGTGTGAACTGAATGTAGTGAAAAATACTGTGTTTGATACACTATAACATGGAAAAGAATTTCGCCTGTGACAATAGGATAATATGTTTATTTTATTTGTTGTTTATTTATAAAAACAACCCTGCCTCAATCTTGAAAGATTCTAGATTGGTGGAGGTGCACTGCCAATCATCATTTAATGTTGGAGTCACATGTGAAACAATACTACGGCATCTGAGCTGCACTGCCATTGAGCCCAAATTACTATGAGTTCCCTAACTATGAATAAAATCTGATCTGAACTGCAAGTTAACAACTTTAATACCCTTTATTAAATTACACCCATTTGCTTTTTTGCCTCACGCAATGCAAAAGGAAGACAATATTCAACCAATGTAACAAGGAAGTGGTTGAGCCCTAAAGACACATTCTGGTCCACCGCAAATAAAGGGACAGGTGTTCCTTGCAACTAGCTAGAGACCACAAACACAGTCCAGGGGAATGACCTGTGCTTGATTGATTACGCAGTTTGCAGAGCCATCTCCAACCACTTGCTGCCTGATCAGCAGCAGCCAGACAGCCTTCCTTCTGTCTGTCTGTCTGTCTGTCTCTATGTTGTCTCAGCCTTCCCCAGTTTAATGCTTTCAGGTGGACTGGGAGTACCAAAACTTTCAGGAATTGTGGATTCAAAACATTTGAAGGGAATCAAGTTGGGGAAAGCTGAACCAGGCATTTGGATTTCTCACTTCAAACTGTAATTCATTCCTAGGAACAAAGTGAGTTAGAAAGCCAAGTGGCTCAGACTCAACAGAATGTGTTAAATATGTAACACGGGTTGTTAAAGATTTTTAGCTCAACTAATCGAAAACGTTTACTGTGCTTCCCGCAAATTCTTAGGCTTTACTGAATCTTCAGAAGAAGAAATCTCTGCAGGTATGGTTGAGCAGCATTGAGACCTCTCTTCATGGCCATCCATGGAGGAGGTCAAAAAAGTCAGGATGGTGGGTATGGCTGTGCAGCCAAAGGCCTGCTCCTGTTTATGCAAAAAGGGGCGTGGCTTGGGCCACAAGGATGTGGCTGTTACCTGGACTTTTTTTGACACCCCCTCTTGCAGATCTCGCTGCACCTCACTGTACTTGCTATTCTAATTTTATAATTACCATATAGTATTATTATTTCCTATAACAAGAGGAGCACATGCTCCAACCCCTTGACTGGACCACTCTGCTATTTTTCCTCACACTTATTCTACCATTCCTTTCTGAAGAAACCGTAGGCACCATCCAACTCCCCATCTCCCTCCAGGTGGACTTGTCACTGGTTCTGAATCTCCTGATCGGTTGGCAGATGGGCATCATGTTCTGCCCCTTCTCACAGACTGTGGCAAGTAATGGCAATGGAGGAAGAGGTGTGCCAGTGGCACAAGGAGAGCTAATCCTGAGGTGGAAGGCCAGTGTGGGCAGGACCAGCATGAAGCAGGAAAGGAGGCAAGTCCCAGTATAGCCAGCCTGCAGAAGAACCCTTCCAGGTATCTCTAGCCCAGTCTCATTTCTATTTTCCTCAGAAGAGCCTGGTAGCACCTTTTCTGACTAACATGTTTTATTAAAGGGCATGAGCTTTCATGAGCTGAAGCTCACATCCTCAGATGCCATCTCCTAATTTGTGGGGAAGTTAAAAACATCAGGCTCAGAAGCACTTATATTGGAGAAAGGATATTCTGCAAATGCTAATGAAGTAACTGAGGAAGTGAGCCGCAGTTCATGAAAGCTCATGCCCTTTCATAAAATGTCTTAGTCATAAAAGATGCTACCAGACTCCTCCTGATTTTTGGCCACCAGAGACTAACACAGCTCTCCTCCTACAATTCCTATTTTCCTCTTGTCCTTGGCCACCACTTTAACACGCCAACCTTCCTTTGCCACACCCTCCTAACCCTGCTGGGCTTGGGCCCTCCATTGCTGGACCTTCAATACCTGAGGCTGAGTGAGGGGAGAGCTGGGGCTCCGTGGACATTCCCCCACATCAATATCCGCAGCGTTTAAATCACTGGAAACTCCTGGAAGCAAATGGACAGAATCAGTTTGGGACAGTTTGGGGAAAGTGCTGTCTGCTACTCCATGTTTCCTTTTCTCTTTACTCCACTCCCTCAGCTCCACCAGCACCAATCTACCTCCTCTTCCTCCTTCCTTGGGCCCCTGGCTTCCACTTCCCCATCTGGTGTCCCCTTTCCCCACCACCCAATTCTTCCCCTATTTCTCCCCGAGATCACTCACCGGCCTCCTTGCGATTCCGGACTTTCATGCGGACCCGGTTCCCTGCCTGCCGGAAGACACTCCCAACGTCACTATGGGTCAGCCGGGCTAAGAGACCACTGTCTTCCTGATGAGAGGGGCTCTCTTTCTGATGGGGCAACAGGGAACTGGCTGAGAGGAGAGAGCAGATGGATCAGTAAGTGGGGGTGGCAGTACACACCCATTTTTCCCCCCAAATGTCTATAAGTATTGCATGTTAGTTGGAGTACAATAAAGGGGAAATTAGAAACTAATATTTACCTACAGTGTTTTTAGTAGTTTTTTTTCCTTTTGTATTTTTAAACAACAAATACTGGAGATTTGGGCACTTAGCCCAGAGATTTAAATTCTTACTTACATTGTTAAAACAATTTAATGTACTTAAATACAACTTAATATTTTCTAGGGTTAATTTCTAATCAAAGGTACACTGAGCACTAACTGTACAATCTTGGTAATTCCTTTGTCCATTTATAGATGGACCATTTTTTTCTTTTTTCTTTTTTCATTTTCTTCTTTCTTCTTTTTGTTTTTCTTTTAAAGTGATTAATACATTAAAAAATTTAAAAATAAGTGAGGATGGAAAAAAGCACTGCCAAACCTTTTAAAACAGTCAACCGTTTCGGATCTGGGATACCACTTTAGTCAATCTGATGATTTTTTTACACATTTGTATAGAGATGCTGCTGCTGCTGCTGCTGTGACCCTACATCAGATGACAATCCAGAGTCCTGACCCATCTCAAAGAACAGACATCTTCCCAAAGTGAGGATCCAGTGAGAACTTTCTCCATGAAACTGTATGGCCCCAGTTTGCTAGACTGGAAGCGTGGAAGGAATTCTCTGAAGAAATTTCTGAGATACAGGAATGTTATCAGATTCTGAAACAAGCAGCTCAGATCTTGCCAGGGGAATCTAAATATGACCTTTCGCCTTTAAGATCTCCCAAAAGAACATAGAAGGTATAATCTGAGGCATCTCTATACGAGCACCATAGTATCCTTCTCCAAGCTACAGCTCCACTGTTTACATTCTCTTTGTCTTCTCTTGAGAAAGACCCTGATAATTATAGAGTATAGGAGCTTAATTGAGCTTTGGACTCTCCCTCCTTTCCCTAGAATCCCCTTACAAAGCCCAAGCCTGTCACTTCCTTCTGCTGCTAAACAATTTTGCAGATAAGCAGTCTCCGCTGGGCCTTGTGATCTCCCCACCCCATGCCTAGGCTTGCTAGATCCAGGATATTGAGAGTCTTCCAGAAAAGGGGCTCCTACTTCTAGTGATGGACAAGCATGCCATCTTTTCCTCTTCCATGTTTTTTATGGATGGGAAAAGAGAGAAGAGCCCATCCATTTCTTCTCCTTTTTCTTCTTCTTCAGGGGTTTCTGATCTCTCAGGTGGAAATTCCATATGTCAATCCTCTCCTCGCTACACAAATATTAAATAACTTAGAGCACAATCTACCAAGATGTTCTCTTGCAAAAACCTTGCTGAAAAGAATGAAGTCAAAATTGTATGTGTACTTTAAATTGCTTTAATTCTCACTCAGGAACCTTCCACCATACCCAGGGGTGTTACCTAGCTAATTTGGTCTGGTTTATGTAAACAAGTGTTAATTTTTTTTTCTTCTCCCTGAGGGGCATCATGCTGCGTCCTGATACTTAGCTTACACCTCAGCTCCAGGCACCCTGAGGCCAGCCTGCAAGAAGTAGCTTGGAGTAAAGCACGCTTTATGAGGTCGCAAAATTGCTTTCAGTCCCCTTCTAATTAAGTGTGGATTCAGGGGTGGGAGGGAGGAATAATTAGAGGAACTTGTCAATGGATGTGCATGATCAAAATTTACAGATTATGTTTTTCTTGCTTTAAATCAGCTTGCACAGACCAAGATGTTCCTCAATCCATCTATTTGGGATCCTGGCCTAATCCCGTGCTGCCCTGTTCCTAGACTCAGATACAATCGCACCAGCATTCTCCACCCTGATGACATCTCCTCTGCTGCCTGGACATCCTGCTCTCCATGGTCAAGAACAAGACTAATGCATGCCACAATTGCTTGCGTACTTTTTTTTTTTTTTACAAAACCTTCCTTCCAAATATATTGAGAACCAAAGCTGCACTTGAAAGGGGAATAAGCATACCTAAAACGCAATTCCTTGTGCTATATAATGAGGGAATCAGCTATTTGCATATTTGTCAAAGTCAATGTCTGCCTGCCCAAACCTGAATATTTAACTTAGCTGGGGCACTAGATGGGAGATTTCCACCACCACATATTGCCACTGAAATTGTGCTGTCTGACAAGCAGATACCCTTAATCTGTATATATTCACTCACTCTCCTTAGCTCATAGTAGCCTCAGAACACCAATGAGATCCTCCAGGGTTGTTTGGACTATGTTCCCATGCACACAGCAGCTACCTGGGTGGTGCTTCCTGTGCCCCATTAGTCTAGAATGCTCCTACGCATTACTGCAAGAAAAGGGAAAAGATTCATGTTTGAATTGAACCTACAATCTATTAAACAAGGTTGGCTTCATGAACAAATGACAAAAAGAAAGACTGCAGTCCACCAGCCTCCAAAGACTCAAGGATTGTTCCAGATGAGGCATTTATTGCTCATTCGTTTTTTTTAAACAAAAGATCTGTATTGTCATGTCCTCCTTTTGCAAAGCCCCCCATTTTTTCTCATTTCCATCATTTTTTCTTTCCAGAGAAAATCTGTTCAGAGGAAAAGATGTAATTGCAGCAGAACGCCTTACTTTGTTTTGATTTTTTGATCACTAAGTCTAAGAGCTCTCCATCTGGATGCTTATCCAGTCTCACCTGGAAAAAAATGGCCCAGGCCTCCAGCACAAATGTCGTCCTTCCTCAGGTGGGTCCCTGAAACACCTACACCTCCCTTTGCCCCCTACAACATGCATCAGGATGAGAAGACGTCAAGCTGTGGAATCTGGTTTGTTGATTCACTTGAATCTCAGACTCTACCGAGCCAAAGGCAGGTGTAAGAAACCCAAAACAAAACACTTGAAGAGGACTTGAGGTGTGTGCATGTGGGGGAGATCAGGTACATAGAATTAAAGCACTTGCATTCTTATTTGTTTTCAGTATCAGCACTAAGGTCACAGTTTTTCTAGGTAAAAATCTGCTCCATGTTTTCTTCTTCGTAGGGTTAAGGTAAACTTGTACCTGTTGCTATTGGTGATATTCATTGTCCAGCGATATTCTCCAAATTGCAATGTACTGTACATTCTTTCTGCTACTCACATACACCAGGTCAGCACCTTCTGATCTTACAATGGATCTTTACTTTCCTAACATCTTCAGTGCACCTCAACTCCCTAACAAGCTGAATTGAAGGATTTCCATGCTAATAATTGTCATTCTGATTACTGATAGTAATCAACCCTACGAGGATTTTTGAACATTATGCAGCTACCTTAAAACTTACATGACCCCCAATTTGATCCTCTCCCTCCTCCTCCAGTCTCAGCCTCGGTAAGCTGGACCCTCTCTGGGGAAAGAGAAACAAATCCTCCCCAAATTACCTCTCTTTCATCCCTTTCTCTCCCCCCCCCCAACAAATCAACTACAAACAAAATGGTAGGCAGCGGATATTTACGTTTGAAGTCCTGGATGTGGCGTAGGAAGGTCTGGACTTGTTCAAACATTTTCGGGTAGAGAAGGATGACAAAACAATCAGGGAGGAAGTTAAAACAGGGAGTGGGTCCTCTCTCCTGGCTGTTCCTGCTTTGCTCTCTGTTCTTCTCTGACCCCCTTTCAGGAATTTCTCCCTTTGCCTGATAAACCAAGGACTTTCAGGGGAGGGAACGGAGTGGCTGACGCTTAACCTGTTCAGAACCGGAGGAACAAGTCGCTGTGTGTGTGCAGGCACGCGCGTGTGTGTAAGTGGAGAGCGCCTGGTTATTTTACTCTCACACAGAAACTACAATTAAGGCTTCTAATTCTCTAAACACAAGACAGGGCAAGAGACAGGTGCTTTCTCAAGTGATCAGAAATCAGTCGCGTTTGCTTTCCCATTCCATGCTTATTGGGCCAAAAGACCAAGAAGATTGTCCTCAAAGTTACACCGCCTTCACCCTCGTTTCACTGTTATGCTGGATTGCTTCTTAGCATTCTTTAGTTCTGTCTCCCCACCCTGCCCCCAATACGCACACACGCACAATTTAGACAAATGTACGTTTTACCCCTCCATGAAGAAAGAAAATAGATTCCCCCAACTTAAACACAAAAAGCCATGTATGCTTTTAAATTAACATATTTATTACTGCATATTTTCATGGATTTGAGTCCTGTAGTTATATATGTGCAATCTTTAAGATGTCACATGACTCTGGAGTTTTTGTAGCAACATAGCTATTCCTCTTGAAACTGAACAATGGCTGTAGTACAGAGACACTGAAAGATGTCAGGCTGAGATGCTTTATGTGACAATGATGGGCTGCCTTAGGTTTTTTAAAGGTATTATTTTGATAATGACAAATATGACATGGCATTTTTGATTGCTTTATGCAATGTTGTGATGTTCTACAGAACCATGCGATGGGAGTAAAATATAATAAAACAATTAACATACCAAATTCTGAAGCTAGACCCCTCTTTTACTTAAATACAGAATTTAACAAGATGAAATCTATCACCAGATTATTTTCTCCCACCTGAAGAGAGTCTTTGTATTTTGAAGGCTACTTCCTCCAACCTCTAAATGTGTCTTCAACAACTTTTTTGCCTAAAGCACCATTTCACTGTTCTCTCTTTACTTCTGTTCTCCTCTGAGCCAGCAGTCCCTCCCCCTATATTTTAAGGCAAAAGATTAATCTGGATTCTCACTTATTTGGGGAAAGGGGTGGGTGGGTGTTAAATCATTCTTCTTTGTCTCAGAATGCCAGATATAATCTGATACCTGCAACCCACTAGTGACAAATACATTCAGTGTACAACCAAAGTCTTCACAAGGTTAAATTAGAACTGATGACAACATGTGACCTAATTACTTTTCTTCCTCTGTTCTTTGCTTTTTGTATTACCTGTCCTGATTAAAAGGGTTCCAGATAACCCAGAAACTTGTGTTCTTTTGTAACATCACCTAACGAAAGAATTGTGCAATTGTGTATTTTGGATTTTCTTTAAGGGCCAGCTCATCTGTTTTCATTTCTAAAGCAGTTGTAGCAATGGCAGCAACAAACTACATACAAAGGCATGTTTTGCAAATACATGGAATCTGCTCAAAGTGCATGACTGAGTACCTTTGGAATTTTGGCAGGAAATGGATGCAGACTATTCCCAATATTTTCTATTCTCCTTACCGGCTCTTCCAGCTGCAACTCCATCGGTGGATAGTGCAATGCTATATCCATGCTCTTCTTTAGGACCATCCACACTTATGGGTTCCCCAGCCCCTCCTGCTGGCCGAGGCCTCCTCAGCCTCTGGGAACAACGAGCGGGACACACAAGTACATTTCGAGGTTCAGGACCCACAAAACTGGTCACAGTCAAAGTGTCACCTGGGGGACCTCCCCAAGGATTAGAAATATCCTGAGGACCTCTTTTATTATGAGTGGAGTTGGGCAAGAAAGGTTCTTGTCTAAAAGAGCAGTTTTCCTGAGGATGCCTATGGGAGGGATGACCTGTAAGAACAAGAAGGGCAGAGGGAAAATTTTGTTAGGGGTATCACCAAACTACAGAACCAAGTGACATAACTAGTATTCTCAGCAGAGATTGAAGTATTTGGCCACACCTCAACCTTGGTATACCCATATCTAGTTTTTAGGACTCCTGATTCTTAAAGCCAGTATGGTCTAGTGCTTAAATCACTGGATTGGGACTATGGCAATTCAGGTTCAAATTTCCACTCAATCATGAAGCTCACTGAGTGACTGTGGACAAGCCTGACTTACACCATGGGGTTGATATGAGGATAAAACAGGGGGAGGGGGCATGATGTGTGTCCTCTGAACTCCTGGAGGAAAGGTGGAACACAAACATAGCAAATAATTAAAAGTTTTACCTTGGAGTCAATAATTGATGTGAGTGAGAGAGTAGAGTTATAAATCAATTTGACAGATTTTTGCACATGAAAACCACCACTCTAAATAGTATTTACTAAACTTAGTTTTCATTTTGAAAGAAACAGATGTTTCCATTAAGAGCTGAAATGAATTTGAACCACACAAATCATGACAAAATCTGCTTTCTATCACTGATATTTTGCCTTTCTTCAACAGAGCGTAAGGTGGAATGCATGTGTTCCATCTGCGTGCTGTCTGGGATCCACTTCTGTTCAGCAATGCTGCTGTCTTCTGTGTACGTACTGTATATACTTATTTGTTTTGTTGGATTGATTTTGAATTCTTGTTTTTTGTTGTTGTTGTTGTTATATTGTGACCTGCCCAGAGTCATTTTGACTCTGGCAGTGCCTAACTTGAATAAATTAAAGTGATTATTTACTAGTCCAGATCAGCCTCTGTTACCCAGCAATCTTTTCTCTAGGTCTCAGAGTTAACAGCCAACAGTATCTAGAAGCCAACACAAAATTGGATGCAGTAACATGACTGCATTTTACACATAGCAATTAACATTGACAGCAGGCTGATTCAGCTCATGAAAGTGAACCTATTCCCTTGATGGACTACTTGCAAAATGCAGGCGGGGCGAAGCTTACATGGGGATTTGAAGATTAGA